CCCCAGGCGTGTATATAGGGCAGTTATCAAGCACAAATATGATTGTATCTGGGAGGGACAAGACATAACAGCGTACTGATGGGAGGATCATTTTTTCTAACAATTCGATATATTTGTCTCAGATGCATTTGCCCCTGTTTCGCCAACATCATGCAGGAAGTCCCCACCCCCACACATTACAGGTCACGTGGCCACTCCTCGCCGTTTCATAGATAATCCGTCCATCGTATGTGAAAAGTAAACGATAATATAGGATCCAAACATGAAATACGACGTTTAGAACACTATTATTTATAAATAAATATCGTAAATTGAAATGAATTAATTTGTGAAAAAAAGATTTAAGAGGGATATAACATATACACCTTTTATCTCATCCAGCACTGAAGCTTTCCATGTATTTCCTGTGTATTTTTCTCTGTCCTTTAATGCTCTTCGCCGGTAATCTAGATCTTTCTCCACTTACTGCTGGGCGAACTGGAGGCGACGTTAGCGATGTCGTTCGTTCAACCTTTCTTTGATGACGTTCTGTGATGTATTCCATCTGCATGCAGTCGTTTTCCTCACCGTGCAGCCAGTTACCAGGAGCTGTAGTCCATAATTTTTAGCTACAGGCTTCCTAGAGGGTTCGAAGCCGTAGCGTTTCCGTTAATGAAAATATCATACTAAGGGCTTATCATAATTTTAATTAATATAATTATTAAAGACAACATAAAGACAGAAAAGGAAAAAATATTGATTCATTTCTGATATCTATAATTCTACACTGTAATTGCAGCACCCCGTCCATTGCCTGTGTGTTCTCATTTAAGCAATTATACGGAGGATAGCGTGTTATCCGCTCGCTACTCGTCACTTCTTCATTTTCATTTGATTGTAATTACAGTAGAGAAATTCAGCGAAACATGTAAAAAGCTACCTCACTGAAGTATGTGAACACTATATATATTTTTTAAATCTAAGAAACTCCTGTATAAATGAAACACTATTTTTGCAAAGGAAATTCTATTTAATTCCGAGGAATTCAGACTGAAACAGTCATCACATACAATACCAGGTCAATTCTTTAAAGGATCATAGAGGAATAAAGTCAGCCAGTTTCAACAATGCAGAGCCTAGGCTGGATCCGCGTCTCACTTGCCAGTCACAATCTGTTTACTGCCTCCCCTCTGAATAACTTTCTGGCTGCTGCCGCCAAAGATGCTACCCTTTTGACTGACAGTCTGGTGCTGGTAACCACCTCCAGTCGCAACCTGTTCCACTTCCTGCTTGCTGGGTCCGAAAATCGAGAAGCCTTGGTGCACAAACTGCTTGTTGTTGTCCCCGACACCTAGTTGGCCGACCTTCTGAGTGTTGCCCAGGAAAGTGCCGTGGGAACTGACAAACTGCTCTCCGCCGCTATTTTGTCCACCGTATTGCTCTACGTTTTGGTTGCTTGACTGAAAAAGAAATCAAGGTTAATTGATACATGATACGTGGTTAAGCTATACATGGGGGGTTTGCATCTCTAAACAGTTAGATGATACAATACATACTGCATTATTGTTATTATCATTACCAGTTTAATTCATGGGAAGAATGACGTCAACTTACCCAAGAGAACTGACGTTTTGCTCGGTGCAGTTCCCCTTCAGAGCCTGAAATAGAACAAATTTTCATGAATCTTCTTTGCTGAACCACAGCGCTGGTACAAGTATCATTCAAGATGGAAGATGGATTGGGCGTCAATATCACGACGTGAACAGATTTCCTTTCAACACAAAATGGATTGATTACCCAGTGAAGCTGCCTCGGCACAGATGGCGAAAGCAGCGACCACCGCCAGGAACATCACACGCGTCATGGCTGCGTTGCTTCAGCTGTGGGAAAAGGGAGGCGTTTACTTCGGGATTCAGATGTGCTTCGCATGCATTGCGAGAGAAATAAACTTACACATCTTGATTTGTATGAATGAAATGAAATCAAATGAAACTACGATAAATGAATAAAACGTTTTCGTGAAAAAAATCCATTCAACTCGCGAATAATTAGTAACAGCAAGAACAACAAAAATATATACATTGTTTATGTGTATATATAAATATATATGACTACATGCGTTGTATCATATGTAGTGCATCTATTTACAACACTTCTCTTTAGGGGAAAGAAGTTTCCACAAGAGCAACTCACGAGAGAATTGACGGAGCCGAGAGCAGTGCCACAAACACACTGGTATGGGATGCCCCGAAGCCCCTTTTTATATCCCTTATCTTCTGTGAATCCTCTTCTTAGTGACGTCAGAGTTACTGTGTGACGTGGCAACGCAATTCCCGCTGATTTGAGGGTTGACAACTTTACAAAAGTGCGTGTAATCATTATACTAAAAAGGTCTTTCATAATTAGGGATACACCGATGCTGAGTGATGCAAATCATTACTTTGATCATGATCAGAAGTAATAGGAGTATTACAAGTAATAATTAAAGTAACAGTGATATATGTAAAATATACAACAAAATGGAAGTGCGTATATATACATATAGATGCGTGAGTGTGCTCGTGTGTGTTTTTTTATGTGTACATACATGTGCATATATATACACATGAATACACGCATATATGCAAATGTAAGCATATGTACAAACCTACACAAATATCTACCTAATTTTTATGTATGAGTATATATGTTTTATATATACATACATTTATACATACAAATTAATAAATTTCTTCATATATGTATACACACACAGGCACAGAATTACATGTATTCATATATATATATATACATATATATATATTATATATATATATATATATATATATATATACATACATACATATATGTGTATAGCACATATATGAATCTGAGCTTGACGATGTGCATGTGAACGTGCGTGTCATGATTATTGATAAATGGCATACATGATTGATACTGTAAGTGTCTACCTTTCCCCTGTACAAAAGATACATCTTCGAATCGTTGTTATTATCATTGGCAATCTAATTCAGAGGAAGAATGACTATAATACTGTTATATATAGCCTTCAGGAGGAGAGATGCCATGAGGTGAAAATATTTACTCAACACACGTTTCGTACAAAAATGAAAATACAAAACACACCTCCCTCTGCCTGCAGCTGGAGTTGATTACCCAGTGAAGCTGCCTCGGCACAGATGGCGAAAGCAGCGACCACCGCCAGGAACATCACACGCGTCATGGCTGCGTTGCTTCAGCTGTGGGAAAAGGGAGGCATATGTGATTCAGATTTGTTTTCAGTCCATGTTTTCAATGCTAAGTACAGAAGCGTACCTTGCAGAATATGTAAATGAAATTCAAATTCATTTTGTAATAAAGAGATGAGAATTTTATATAGATATGTATATATGTATGTGTGCATACATACATACAAACAAGAACATTAGCGTCTGATCGCCTTCTTCCTCCACAGGGAACTGAATTTTCTCGTCGATGGTGTTGAATTGAGTTTACGTTTGATAGAAGCACATGTTGTGGAGACGATAACGAGGGCATCGTGTGCATAACGATCCCAAGTAGTGATCCCTCTCCAGCATCTCTTTTAGCGTAAAGACTGCGTTAAAAGGAAATAAATCTCATTTAACTTGTATAATTTTACTTTTGTAAGTACCATCCCCTACGCATTGCGCATGCGCGGTGGTCCCCCACAACATAGCTTCCTTGGGGGGGGGGGTTATCGGTCACTCCACCATAGCACTTGCCCATGGAAGCACTGTGAATCATCTCGTAAATGGTCGCAATTTGCATATCTATTTATTTACTCCTGTATAGGAAAACGACCCTTTTCAAGACTTATTAAAGCTTATTTTTGCTTCTTTCAATGCCATTTATATATATATATATATCATTATCCAAGAAAGGCTGAACAGACTCAACGGCGCGAGGCCTGAATTATCGTCCGTGAAACGCCCCCTTCTAAGGACGATTATTTTCTCACACCAGTACCACTGTAAAAAAATCTTGCTGGCTGTATGATTTACAAATTTGTTTGTTTGTTTGTCTGTAAACATATATGGTATATGGGAAATAGGCATTCTCTTTCAATAGCCCATTCTAAAAATAGTATCTGGAGTGAAAAACCGAAGGGAAATTACCAATACTAAACTAAATCAAAAGAACCGACAGGAGCACAGTGAGTAGGATTGGTAATTACGGAACGGCGTTTCACTAATCGCTGGCAACAATGTGGCTACCATATCTACTTAGGATCTTTATTGAGAGGTTACGCACTTCAGACTTACGACGCCGATATGCACAGGCGTAGATTCCGAGAAAGCGTGTAAAGAAAAGGAATCTTGTTCCGCTGTTGGTGCGAATTGAACAGTATTTGGATAGATGGCTTTCTCTCAGTGAAGTAGATAAAGATTATGATTGTGTTTTTGACTGTCTAATTCGGGAACAGTTGTTGAGTAATTGCAATTCAGATCTTAGTTTTCATTAAAGAACGGCAATTCAGCAATTCCCTGGAGATGGCTCAATCTGCACACATACTGCAGTGCACACAGGTATCGCTCTAAACTAGTTAGATCTCCAAAAGTTACTGTTACACCTAAAGATCATGCAGACTCTATTCATATGCCTGCAGTAGGCCAGGTCACATTACATCTAATTGCCCGGATAACCCATGAAACTTTAAGTGTAAGACTAAAAGTGAAGCTAAATTAAATGTTGTTTTCGAGTCTGAGTTAAAACCTAGGACTTGTAGTATTGATCAAAAGGGATATACTTTTAATAAAGCTGTGGAAGTATTGCTCAAATGATAGCTATTTTATTGAGTTGGATCTTACTAAAGGATACTGGCAAATTCCTTTGGCTAAAGACTTCAAAATATATACAGCTTTTTCAAATGATGTCGTTTGGCTTGAAAACTGCATATGCAACTTTTATCAGATTAATGAGGAAGGTTATTGAAGGACTGACTAACACACATTGTTATTTTGTCAATGTTATGCTTAGTCTGACCATTTAAGGGAACCTCTTCTGAAGTTACGTTTGCGCGGGTAAAAAGCTGGCCTAAATAAGTGCTACTAAGATAAAGTATCTTGGTGTGTTACTGGGAGATAATTTCATTGAACCTTTGGATGATAAGGTTCAAACTGTCAATTGTATGTCTCTCCCTGAAACTAAGAAAGAATTAAGATCTTTTTATAGGTACAACTTATTTCTGCAGAAAATTCATTTCAAATTTTGCTACTCTAGTAAATTCCATGAGCAATTTATTGAAGAATAGCTGTAATAAACTCATGTGGAATGGTTCTCAGATTGCTAATTTTCATGAACTAAAATCAATACTGACATGCAAGCCTATCTTATGTCTGCCTGACTTTTCAAAATTCCTTTTCTTATGAACAGACGCTCCTGATTGTGGTTTATGCACTGTTTTGTTGTGTGTGAGGAGACTATATATTAGCTTGTGCATGTGTTTTCTCTTTCTCCTCCAGTTGTGTCTGTTTCATTTAATATTTGTACACAAATATATGTCAGCAAGTACTGCCTGTTGGTAGATTTGTTTTGGCTTGTTTAGTTAATCGAATCCGTAACGTATCTGTTAATGAAAACATGCTGAGGGCTTTTCGTGCTAAAAGCCAAATTTATTAAGATGATATCAATTGTAATAATGAAATACTGAAAACGATTTTTTCTGATATATAGGATTCTGCAATTCAGCCATGACTGAGTGTGTGGCTCTAATTGCAATTCTCTGATCGTTGCTTGTGTTTCTATTGTCTCCGCAAAGGTTATGTTTTTGGTAGCGTTGGTTTGTTTGTTGGTTCGCTGAATAGCTCATAAAGTTAATAACAGAATTTGATTAGGTATTTACCAGAGGTGTATCTTAGCCCAACTTAGATGCCATTAATTTTGTTGGTGATGCTGATCAAGATCCGGATCCAGGATTTTTTTAATGACTGCATCAGTTGCCCTTATTGCTAGACGTAGCTGTCTATTATTAGCATTTCGAGATAGACATCTTTTTGGCATTTGAATTATTATCCTATTGCCTTGGCGAAGGTATACGCTGAATGCTTTGCTTCTAGTTTGAAAAGCAATTATACGGATAGTGCCATATCATCTTGCTTCTCAATCTTTCTCATCATTTCATAGATTCAGTGAAGTATTCTAACATATAATCTCACATCAGTGAGAACCATTGTATATATATATATATTTCGAATTTAGGAAACCCATACAAATAAAACATATTTTGCAAAGGAAAATTTAATTACGAGGAATTCAGTCATCACAAATACCAGTTCAATTCTTTGATCATTGAGGAATAGAGTCAACCAGTTTCAACAGCAATGCAGAGCCTAGGCTGGATCCGCGTCTCACTTGCCAGTCACAATCTGTTTACTGCCTCCCCTCTGAATAACTTTCTGGCTGCTGCCGCCAAAGATGCTACCCTTTTGACTGACAGTCTGGTGCTGGTAACCACGTCCAGTCGCAACCTGTTCCACTTCCTGCTTGCTGGGTCCGAAAATCGAGAAGCCTTGGTGCACAAACTGCTTGTTGTTGTCCCCGACACCTAGTTGGCCGACCTTCTGAGTGTTGCCCAGGAAAGTGCCGTGGGAACTGACAAACTGCTCTCCGCCGCTTTCTTGTCCACCGTATTGCTCTACGTTTTGGTTGCTTGACTGAAAAAGAAATCAAGGTTAATTGATACATGATGCATGCTTAAGCTATACATGAAGGGTTTGCATCTCTAAGCAGTTATATCATACAATACATACTGAATTACTGTTATTGTCATTACCAGTTTAATTCATGGGAAGAATGACGTCAACTTACCCAAGAGAACTGACGTTTTGCTCGGTGCAGTTCCCCTTCAGAGCCTGAAATAGAACAAATTTTCATGAATCTTCTTTGCTGAACCACAGCGCTGGTACAAGTATCATTCAAGATGGAAGATGGATTGGACGTCAATATCACGACGTGAACAGATTTCCTTTCAACACAAAATGGATTGATTACCCAGTGAAGCTGCCTCGGCACAGATGGCGAAAGCAGCGACCACCGCCAGGAACATCACACGCGTCATGGCTGCGTTGCTTCAGCTGTGGGAAAAGGGAGGCGTTTACTTCGGGATTCAGATGTGCTTCGCATGCATTGCGAGAGAAATAAACTTACACATCTTGATTTGTATGAATGAAATGAAATAAAACTACGACAAATGAATAATACTGTTTTCGTGAAGAAATACACATTCAACTCGCAAATGATAACAAAATAT